ACTTTTTTACGTGAACATAATTTTATTAATATCCCAGAGGCCGAATTTAAAGATTTTGAGCCGCGGCTCAAATATGGTTGGTAAATGGTTCCACTTCAAATCGTATTTATTGTTTCGAGATTTAAGCCAGCGCTCAATTGAATATCTCCGTCAATTTTGATGATACAATAATTATGACGTAATTTTTTTTGATACACACTTTGTCATTTTACTACTATCGGAAAGCGAGGACGAAAGTCCTTCCTTAATTCCCATGTTTATTGGGACACCCTGTAAGCTGTACCTTTCTTGCTTCATTGTCACACTATTTTATTGTATATCTGTTAAAATAGTGGGATTCATGGGGTTTAAATATGTTAATCCACAATTCCTTGAATAACAAAGACAACATATAGCTAATTACATGTTAATTCCACTGGAGCTGTTTTTAAACGATAATAAGCAGAGAATAAGCCATAAGACTTAAAATAAAATAAAGTAATTGTTAAAATCGCTTTGTGTAAGCATGTATTTAATAAGCATGTTTAATCCAGAACTAAGCTTTCGGTGTGTTCTACACAAAATTTACAGTACACTGACAAAAGATATATATAGCATTTAGTGGAGAGTGGTTTAATGAAGAATTGTTAACAATCATTATACTGCGCGACTTTTTAAAGTTTTTAAAACAAATTTTAACAAAAATGAATCCCTCCAGTGGAATTATAATCCCCCATGAAGGATATCTGAATCCCTCCAGTGGAATTATAAACCCCCAGGAAGGATATCTAAATCCCTACAGTGGATTTATAAACCCATAGGAAAGAAAACTGAATCCCTCCAGTGGAATTATAACCTTCCCGGGAAGGATAACTGAATCCCTCCAGTGAATTATAAACCCCTAGGAAAGATATCTGAACCCCTCCAGTGGAATTATAAACCCCTAGGAAGGATAACTGAATCCCTCCAATGGAATTATAAGTAAATCACCCTGCGTAAAGTTTTAATTGTAAAAGGCATTTTTGAAACCCCTCCAGTGAAAATAAAATCCCTCCGGTGGTCTCCAGTAGAATCGAAATCTTACTACGAACTTCTTTTTCTACATAAAACGTTAAAGGGAGAAAGAAAGATTTTTTTCATTTTAGATAATTTAAACCTTGTTTATGAAGTCATTTTCAGAAAAATTTAAAACTTATAAAAAAGTATAATTTGTCTTCCTTGCTATATTTGACACTTGTGACGTCGTGTACAGTTGGCCCATTTCTCTGTTGCCACCTATTGTACTTGGTTAGAACTAACATTTAAAAGTCTCGAACTCTTATTTGTTTTAAACTGATAAAATAAGATGATAAACAGTGTATGAATGAATGGATAAGTGGAAGAGTTCCCTCAACATTGGATTGATTGAACATGAAAGAGTATGTTGCTTGTCTAAAGCCAGCATGATTAGAATGGCTTGAACCTAGGGGCATCTACAGAGGGAGGGGGGGGGGGGGCAACACTGGATAAGGAACAACTATTAGTTTATTCCCAAGCAAACTGTTGTTACACCCCCCCCCTGGGATCACATTCTGTATACGCCCCTGTTAGAACCTGACATGGATTTGTAATAATTTAGTAGATAAAGCACACTTAGGCCATTTACATCTTATATACTCCCAGTCTCCTTTTAGTAAAGATCAACCATCAGTAAAAACGATCACGAAAACTTAAAATCTATTTTATCGATCAATGTTCAGGTCATATTAATATTCAACTAATTATTTTCATTGTCATCGGAATTCGGAATTAGTTTACGGAATTAGGAATTACATTACGGAACCGGAATTAGATTCCGGAATCGGAATTAGATTACGGGATCGGAATTAGATTGCGGAATCGGAATTGGATTATGGAATTCAGAATTAGATTACGGAATCGATATTAGATTACGGAATCGGAATCCCAAAGGGGACATTTTCCTTCAAATGACACACATTTTTAAGGTAGATTCACGCCTTTATTTATCAGATTAGTGTTTAGACTCTAGGAATGTATTTAAAAACTGTAAAAAAAATTTCATGCATTTTACTTGCTAATTTTTTTGATGAATTATTTTTTTGTCTATTTTTTCATTAATTTGTTTCCCGCCATTTAACCCTTGGAAATTGGATTTGAGTTCATATCTTCATTTTTGTAGTTTTTCTGTTCAAACTTTGGATCCAGATCATAATTGTGATTAACTTTCTAAACTGAAAATGAAAATTTACCCAAAAAATGTTTCATTTTATAAATTTTTTTCAATGATTTCTTTGATTGATAAACGTTTACGCATTAAAATCAATAAAGCAAGACAAAAAAATATTTTGCTGTAAAATTGAGCCAAATGAAAAAATTCTCGCCATTGAAAACAATATCAGTAGAAAAGGGGGGTCACATCTTAATTTTTCAAGATAATCTTCTAAGATTTTTCAGGGAAACTGGAATAATGATTTAGGTTTGGAATAAGTTATTGAAAAGCATACAAATCTGAAACTCATATTTTGGCGGATTTTTGGATTTTGTAAATAATGCATTCAAAAAGTATTCAATTTGTCCCTTTTCCGACCATAATTGAGTAACATTAGACACCTCACAAGTAATAAAGGCAAAAAAAATTGCAAAATCTCAAGAAAATAGCTGCAAAAATAAAACTTTGTGCCAAAATAGTCTTAAGTTTAGATGCCTGAAAAATCGAAAAATTCAATTGTCATGTCTTTAAATCAAAATATAAAAGTGAAAACATATAAGATGATGTCTTACATATTATTTGTCTAAAAAATTTACAAATTGAGAGATAGTTTTGGTTTCCTTTGTTCTAAAAATTTCTAGACAGGATTAAAGGATAAAAGTAAGTTACTATGCAGTGAACTTCCATGCAAAGAAGGCCATTGCTTCACAACGCGATTTCGCAGATAATACGTTTGTTACTCCATTTTTTATTTAGATAAATTCATTTCTTCTTCATCCTTGATCTGTTAAAGGGTTGAAAAAAACTGTTGTGAATCAAACATGCTGGTTTATCCCCAGGAAGGGTCACTTAAAATATCGTTTTCAGCCTCGTTCATAGAAACATTTTCAAATAAAAAATGATTAGATTTTAAAGTTTCCGTACAAGAACGTTAATTGAAATATTATCGTATGAAAGGAGTGAATACAAGATATTGATATTCTATTATATAAAATGGTTTCGGGGACATTACATCGTGATTTGTCAAATATTTCAATATTTTACTCAAAATATTATCATCATCTTTTATGTTTTAAAAGATATGTATAATCATGTAATTAAATGTATAAGATTTAAAAATAACTACTATATGAAGAAAAAAGGCAATATTTTGTCGAGTTTATTTGTACGACTTTGGAACTTTGTAGCTTCCCAAATTTTTATTTTCCAACAAAAAGTAAAAAACAAAACAATTGTTATGTGGCAATTAACGACAAATTCATCTTTCACATAAATTGTGGAGGATTCTACGGGCAACGCCAGTTACAGAATACTAAAATGATAGATACGATGAGAAACAGCTAAGGCCGTAGGATAGGGAGAGTACATTTAATCAATCTTTAAAAAGTAATTATTGTTGTTACAAGGCAAATAGTTTTACGTTAGTAGCGTAAAATGTTGTCTCTCATGTTTTTTGAACTATTTGAAATCATTACTTTCGTCTAAAAGGCGTCTTCCTATTCCACAGTATTCTTGTTTTCATTGTTAGAAAGAAGAAAGTTCCTCATTTAAAACTTGTGAAAAAGTTAGTTCAACTGTTCTTATATTTGAATACTAATTGCTTTGTCGTGTTCCTGCCGTATCCCTGCAGCTAAATTCTAAATATGTTGCAGATCATATTTATGAATAGCAAACCTCCAGTGTACATTATGAATGGTATGATTTGTGAGATTAGAGGCAACAACTTTTGGTTGGGATAGCGCTTAACTCAAAGTCCAAATCGTTGACTTTTAAATTTAAGGATTTAAGTATCCGTTAATCTTTTGAAGTACTGTTTCAAATTTGATAGTTTATTTTTCTAATAAATTTAATGAAAAAATCTCTTAACCCTAAATATTTGGACATAAAACATGGGATGTCATATTTGGACATAAAACATGGTATCCTGGTTTTCAAGTACCCCAGCGGGGATAGGGTTAAATATATTTCCTTCTATATGTCCTTCAAATTGTTTTTATAAACTTATCGATGATTAGCTTTTTTGAAAATGTTAAACAGATTGGCCATCAAATTATAAAAAAATCCTATCAAATTTTAAGCAGTTTTACTGGGTGATAAATGATATTATTAAGTATCTATTCAATGCTAGTCATGCATATTTCTTTAAGCATGTGTTCTACTTTGGGTTCGGGGTGTACTACATAATACATATACGTAGAGCTGAGCATGTCTATACTTTTTTTTCAAACCGTTCGTTAAGGCCTCGTTAAAAGCACTGAGAGGACCAATCTTTTAGGTATCAGTTCGTTCTTAGCTATGAGCTGAACGTTCCAATCCGTTAACGATGTTTTCCGATGTTTGTTAACGATCGTTATTTTAGAAATCTTGATAACGGGATTATTACATTTAATATCGGTGCATATACTTTCTTCTATTAATAAAAAGAGGGAAAAAAACTTTTTCAATTTGAATAATATAGCAACAAACCGACGAATAATTTATTTTATTTGCTGTAAGTTTCAGTGCCATTTTATAAGACAAATTAAGAAAAGTGGCCGGTATTTTTAGAATGTATTTATTCTTTATTTTCATTACATATCGTTTCCCAGCCCTGCTACATATTCACAACGTTATTTAAACCTATAAATAATACTTCATTACTTATTTATAGCACATTAAACTATGTTAAGCTCCTCATTTAAACTCCATCATACACTTATTCCCTTATTCCGTCATCCACTTCTCTCATTCCCTCATCTACTTCCATCCGTCATCCCATTCCCTCATCCACTTCCATCACTCATCCAATTCCGTCATCCCCTTCCTCACTCCATCATCTACTTCTATCCGTCATCTCTTCCTCATCTATTTCCATTCCTTTCTCATCCACTTCCATCTCTCCCTTATCTACTTCTATCCCTCCCTCCTCAACTTCCATCCCTCCCTCATCTATTTCCATCCCTCCCTCATCTACTTCCATCCCTACCTCATCTACTTCCATCCCTCCCTCCTCAACTTCCATCCCTCCCTCATCTATTTCCATCCCTCCCTCATCTACTTCCATCCCTACCTCATCTACTTCCATCCCTCCCTCATCAACTTCCATCCCTCTATCATCAACTTCCATCCCTCCCTCATCTACTTCCATCCCTCCCTCATCAACTTCCATTCCTCTTTCATCCACTTCCATCCCTCCCTCATCAACTTCCATCCCTCCCTCATCTACTTCCATCCCTCCCTCATCTACTTCCATCCCTCTCTCATCCACTTCCATCCCTCCCTCATACTTTTCAATCCCTCTATCATTAATTTCCATTCATCCCTAATCCATTTTTATCCCAAATTTCAACTCCTAATTGTTCCATGAATCATTCATTATGTTCCCCCTCCTTATCCTCTCCCTCCAACCGCTTTTGCAACAACTTTTTCCTCTCTCAATCTTATTTGGTTTAATATTATTCACCGCTAAAACCTACTATATATCTTCGGTCTATGTACCGCAGATTACTGCAGTACGCACCGAACGCTTAGTAGAAGATCATATTTTTGAACACTCTCTCTATGTGTTATATATCGCCTTAATTAGTTGTGATTACGGTTTATTTAGGTTCAATAAACTGGAGATAATCACACTAGTATTAGGATCATCAAAGATGAAGGTTTAATGGCGAAAATAAATGTTGGATATGTTTGTGTTGAAATTATCTTTACAATCGATAAAAAAGGAGGAAGGGGAAGGGAAAGGGGGGTGGGAAAGGGAAGAGGGAAAGGGNTATTATTATTATTATTATTATTATTATTATTATTATTATTATTATTATTATTATTATTATTATTATTATTATTATTATTATTATTATTATTATTATTATTATTATTATTATTATTATTATTATTATTATTATTATTATTATTATTATTATTATTATTATTATTATTATTATTATTATTATTATTATTATTATTATTATTATTATTATTATTATTATTATTATTATTATTATTATTATTATTATTATTATTATTATTATTATTATTATTATTATTATTATTATTATTATTATTATTATTATTATTATTATTATTATTATTATTATTATTATTATTATTATTATTATTATTATTATTATTATTATTATTATTATTATTATTATTATTATTATTATTATTATTATTATTATTATTATTATTATTATTATTATTATTATTATTATTATTATTATTATTATTATTATTATTATTATTATTATTATTATTATTATTATTATTATTATTATTATTATTATTATTATTATTATTATTATTATTATTATTATTATTATTATTATTATTATTATTATTATTATTATTATTATTATTATTATTATTATTATTATTATTATTATTATTATTATTATTATTATTATTATTATTATTATTATTATTATTATTATTATTATTATTATTATTATTATTATTATTATTATTATTATTATTATTATTATTATTATTATTATTATTATTATTATTATTATTATTATTATTATTATTATTATTATTATTATTATTATTATTATTATTATTATTATTATTATTATTATTATTATTATTATTATTATTATTATTATTATTATTATTATTATTATTATTATTATTATTATTATTATTATTATTATTATTATTATTATTATGATTATTATTATTATTATTATGATTATTATTATTATTATTATTGCAATATTTACTTGCATGTATCATTTTAAATATTTCTCAAAACATTTCCTCTGATTTTTAGGTCAAGGGCTCTGATTATCTCCTGCTATGTTAACTAGGAGAGAATGAGAACCCCTGCTGAGAATGAAATATTCGTATTCTTATATTTGGGTTTAAAGGGACTGTATGCGTAATTTCAAAATTCTTTCCGTCAATAGAGTATTTCACAATAGCAACCTAATATTTTACCAAACAAGAGCTCATTTTTTTCTCTTGTGGATTATTTTCTTTTGTGGTTTCTTGATGGAAGTTACGTGCGGATTTTGGGTTACAGAAACAATGAGAATCAGAACTGAACAAACTTTAAAAACTACAATATCTTCCAAATAAATGATAAGACCAAAGTTGACGGAGTGCTGTTGTAAATCCTGAAAATTAAGGTTCATTAAAAATTACTTGAACAATCCCTTTAAATTTATATGGAGTGGGCTTAAAGATGTGGCATTATGCTGGCCTTTTTATTAATCAAAGATGTCATTTCTTTTTTCCTTGTTGTGTAAAAAATTGAAATATTTAGGTTTAAAGTAAAATATGCGTAGTAAGAACATTTTCTGCTTTATTGTTACTACACCAGAGCTGAAAATTTTAAAATTGGGGATATCGAGATATCAATGCTTGGTCTTATCTTTTTGCTAATCTCAAGACTAATATAGTAATCATTATACTGCGCGACTTT